ATTCCCAAGTTGCAGTGTACTTGGCATCTAGAGAATAAAATCACTGTTGGCAAGCATGCTCTAAGGAGAAAGGGAACACTGTACGAAAAAGTGCCACCTCTAGTCCTTTGAGAGCCGTGGTTGTAGAGAAAGCCTTCAAATGGAATATTGGATTATTAGTAGGTTTGAACTTTGGTATGTCAGCAGTGGAGAAATTTTGAAGGAGCTTGTCCTTCACAACCAAAGCAGTAGAAGGTCGTTCCACATAGGTGAAAACTTCATAAATTTTGCTTACTTTTTCTTTCAGCTTGTCAGCTGTAGCAACAGTTGATTAGGGGATTTTTATCCACCAATCACCATCTGATACGTGGACCAACCAGGTTTCGCCACATGTCCTTCATGTAGGCCAATCGGAGCCTGCCACGTGTCAATCAAAGATACGTCCTCCATGGACCAATTGCGACGCGACACGTGTCCACCCATGCCAAATGGGAAAATCAGCCAACAAGGCCCAATCTTTGGGAAGCCCAGTCAGCCTTAGGTTTAACCTAAACCTAGTATTGGCACGCATCCCAAGGCACATAAATATGCTCATTAATCCTCATTAAGGGGGGATTACGCACATTTAACACTCTCACCTAGAGAGACTAAATTACATTTTCCGCATTAATTACTCCTTAATCAAGTACTAACTTGACCGTTGGAGGCGGATCTTCAACCATCTGGAGCATCCGTTTGTTTTGCAGGTACAGGCGTCCGGTTCCAGTCTCAAAATTGTAACTCTCCCGCAGGACATCAGAAAAACCCCGAAACAACAGTGACATTGGTTTGTTCCATGGTAGTGACTTTAGTAGTGAGGGTTCGCATCATGGCAGAAAGTGCCTTGATGGACTTGTGAATATTCTCAATATCATCTTTGCTAGGCATTGGAGTGAAATGGAAGTGAACAGAATGTGACGATGATGGACTTTGTGGAGGCGATGGAGATCTCCTTGCACGCCTCTTAGGTTTAAGAGGTTGTTGTGGTAGATAATCAAGTCGTACCAATCTATCCCTTCTTCCTGACCAAGTAGTGTGAAATAAAACAAACTTACTTAATGGTTTGACTTACTTGTCAAATAGGAAACGAAAGGGGAAAGACAGGATTTTGAAAACAGGAGAGAACAACTCCACTCATTTTTTATTATGGCTAGATATGACATGAATGAACCTAGTATACGATCATAAACAATATGGTGCCCGACTCGAAGAAAAAGTATGTGCAACGACTCAACAAGTGTGATTAGGTGAGTTTATTAAGACTCGTGATATGATTGTATGGCTAGACATGAGGACGTTGTGAAAAAACAAATGACCCAAGGACCAAATAGCACGGAAGATTAAAAGACAAACAAACTTGATTAATTTTGTCTAATTTTATTGTTTATGATATTTACTAGGTGAAAACGGTGCATTGGCAATCGTTATTCATAAATAAGATCAACCACAATCAAAGACAAAGAACACATGTTAAGGTTAGCATAATAATCACAAAAGACTAGGAAGAAAGACTAGAGTTCTAGAAGAGTTAGGACTCATGGAAGAGATTAAAAATAAAATAAAATCTACAACCCTATGTTATACAAGTTGACATGGATTAGAGGACTAAGAGAAGTAGAATATTGGAAGCTAATAATAATAATAATAATAATAATAATAATAATAATAATAATAATAATAATAATAATAATAATAATAATAATAATAATAATAATAATAATAATAATAATAATAATAATAATAATAATAATAATAATAATAATAATAATAATAATCATAATAATAATAAAAATAAAAATAAATTATTATTATTATTATTATTATTATTATTATTATTATTATTATAAAAAAATTTAACTCCTAAATTTAATGAAACGATTAACTCCTTAATTATTAGTAAAGAACCAACATTTACTAACATATCAACTTTGAAGTTAATACGTTATAACAATACATTATAAAATATTATGAAACATAATATTTACAATCACACATTATAACAATTATTATTAATATGTATCCACATAATTACTAAATTTAGCAAAAAATAATCAAGTATCAACAAAATTACTATATTTAGCGAAAATTTTAATTCAAACACATATTATTCTTAATAATAACATATCATAACAGCTATTATTCAAGTACCACATGACTAACATGAAAATTCACATATAATATTTTCAATTATTTTATATATATAATTGTTATAATTTTTTTAAATTATTAATTATTGTGTTTTTCAATTCATTAATTTATTTTTGGCCAAACTATTAAACTTTTTTTCTATATATATTATTTTGGCCGAAAATGTGTATATATAACCGAGTTACTGTAAGAACTAGTCGAATAATACCATTCTATTTAACTTAGATGTGCGCTCTATGTGTGACCCAGATTAATTCATACACATTTAAACTGTTTCCCAAAAATCAAAAGTCGGGCTTTCTCTCCTTTTGTCTCTCCTCAAGCATTTTCTCTCTCCTTCATTGAATTACTAGTCTAGATTCTCCATTGAAGCAACATCTGAGCTTTCTCTACTTCATTGAATCGGATTTCGAGCTCTCTGTAATCCATTGAAGCAACTTCTAAGGGATGATATTTGTTTTTCTCGTTTTTTAAATCACCGAATTTCAATTTCACAATCTATGGTAGTTTATCGTTATTTTATTGTCAATAAAATCAAATTAGAGTTATTTATATTGAAACTCAATCTTTATTTAAAATTTCTGAGTTTATGAATTATTATAGTGATTGTTGCTAGAATTCATAAACATGTAGATCCAAAAACAGTGGCATTCACATTTATGTGAAATTTGGTGTGTTTACGAACAAATCTATGTTAATTGAGTGAAGTCTTACAATAATTATTTGACGATTGAATCAATATTTTTATCGAAATTTGGAGCTTTGATTTTTTCTAGGGTGTCATGTTGTGATTTGTGTAATTTTTTCTTAATCAGTCCTCTTCTATGTGGATTATTTGCAAATTTTAGTACAAATTCACAATACTTAATAAAGTAGATAGAAAATAAGTAATTGTAACTGTAAGCAATTAATTTATGAAGTATTTTTATGCTAGACAATAGACTATGAGTATTTACTTTAACCTTAATGCAGTAACTATGATTTTAGTACTAAATATGCCAGTAGTATAGATTGAATATCATATGTTGGACAAGCTAATACAATTTCCAAAATATCTCAAAAGTAAATCAAAATAACTAAAAAGTAAATCAAATTGGCTCTAAAATACGGAGTAGCATACAAACTGAGAGGTTGTATTGTGTAAGATATACTTAAATGTGAGACCTAAGTTGAGCTTAACTTGTCAAAGTAAGAGGTTGTATTCTGTAAGATTTTGCTTTCATCGGAAATTGTGATTCTCTTATGTTTTTCTTTTGGTAGAAAATGTATGTGTATGTTGTATCTTTCAGACATTTATTAGTTGTTTTCCCTGATGATTGCAAAGTTGTTGCAACTGATGAGATCTCCCTTCATCTATCTGGCAATACTTACCTTCCGAACCTCTCAAAGTCTCAGGTCTCTTGTTAGCCTAATAGTTTTATATGGCAATACTTATTTATGTAGGGATTAAATGGTTTAACTCCAATGTTGTTATGCTAGGTATCGAACATATCTCTATGAAAGTACTTATCTCACATAAGTAAATCAAATCTCTCTAAAAGTAAACTAAATCTCTCTAAAAGTAAACTAATCCTCTCTTAATGTAAACTAATACCAATGTAGTTAATGTTAATTGTTATGCTAGGTATGAGCTAACACAATGATTGATTACTATGTTAGCCATGGGTCTGACATTATGCTGCTTCGTTTTCTATAGTAAAGCTTCTAGTTAGTACTCTAAACAATATAATATGCAGAATTTAGGAGCCGGCCCCCATTGATCTTCTTGATCAATTTAACAAACAAATCAACATGGCAAAACTGTATATTGTGAACAGGATATGTCCACATATCCACTTACGTGAATGAGGCCAATTACTCAGTTGCTGACTCATGTAACAGCCGTTATACATGAGATTCACCGTAAAGTTGCAAAAGTCAATGATTTGTCTTGTTTAGAGCCACATATGATGTTCATCTTTTTTGGTAAATTCAAAAATCCATACTTCTCATCCATTGTTCTGGCAAGTGAATTCGCAACAACGGTTGAGTGTGAGTGATTTTGGTATATAATCAATTGGATTGTTGGGTAAGTCGAATACAAACTATTAATTTCTATTTTTTTAGCATCATTGCACTGTGGTTTTTGTTTTTCATCACATATATGGAGTATTCTCTTATTTGTTTATTACAGATTATTGAAATGTATGGATTCTTGAAGTAGATTTTTGTGTGAAGTATTCGAACGATTATATAATCAAGTGTGATAATACTCGTTCGATTAGTTGGACATTGATAGTACTTGTTTGTGTTTGTGTATGTGTTAGAATTGTAAATACTCTAAACTAGCCATGGAGAACTGTAATGATTCGCACGTTGTTGGTGGGTGCATTGATAGTGTTTTGCAAGATAAGGGGAGCGGTGTTAGGTGCAGAGAGGAGCCTTTTCTGGAAGATGATGGAAATCGTTTTTGTGAAATCGGAGATGTAATTCTACCTTATGTAGAGGGGGATTTCCCTCAATCTACCTATTGTGTATCACCAAGGCCAAATTATGTAACCCATAAGTCCCCCATCAAAACAGTTGAGACGATTGAAACCATTGTGTCCAGCAATCATATTAGTATAGTCACATATGTCGAGGCTCCTGCAATTGGAATGGTGTTTAAAAAATGGCAAGATATAGAAGCTTATTACAAAGATATGGAGAACAAAAAGGATTTGGGGTATGTATAGTGCAAGGGGTTTATTCTAAGGGTCCGAATAGAGATCGTACAGCAACAACTTGGAGGTGTGAGTGTTGGGGGGGACCAGACATGAGGGCTTAGAGGGGGGGCAAAGAAGAGGGCAAAATCAATGGATGTGTCAGGGTCTGGTGGAGCTGTTGATGGAGTAGTATGTGAAGATGAACTTAGTCGTCGGAAAAGGAGGTAAAAAAGTGTGGTTGCAAAGCAATGATCTATGCTAATGTTGATAGGGATGGTAAGTGGACTATAAAGAAAGTCGAGTTGGAACATACCCACTTAAATTCACCAGGTAAGGCAAAGATAGTTAAAGAGTACCGGATGAAGAATTTCACATCCGAAGTTAGGAGGAAGCTATTCAATTATTTTGAAGAAGGTGTTCCTGTTTCTCAAATTCATGGTTGTATGGTTAATGAGAGTGGTGGACTGGAGAATATTACATTTACCGTGAAAGACCTTCAACATGATGTCTGCAAGGAACAGAGGTTACGAATGGTGGGGGTGATTCAACCGCGACGATGGCTTATTTTGAAAAAATGCAAGCCGGAAATCAGAATTTTTATCATTCACAGAGGTTAGATAATGAAGGACGACTGAAAGATGTATTGTGGGTTGATGCAAGGAGCCGTGCTGCGTATGAAGAGTTTGGAGATGTCGTGTGTTTTGATGCTACATATCTGACATATGAGTATGATTTACCATTTGTCAATTTTGTAGGTGTTAACCACCATGGACAATCAATTTTGTTGGGTTGTGCTTTGTTTTCCCGCGAGGATTGCGATACATATTGTTGAATATTTAAACAATGGTTAGAATGCATGAATAATCGTGCACCAGTAGCAATACTAATAGATCAAGTGGCTGCAATGCAGAAGCCACTGGCACCTGGCGAATGTGTGTAGACTACACAGACTTAAACAAGGCGTGCCCCAAAGACAGTTACCCTCTGCCTAAAATTGATAACCTGGTGGACTCAACAGCCGGACATGCTTTGATGAGCTTTATGGACGCCTACTCTGGTTTCCATCAAATTCCTTTATGGAAGAAAGATCAGGAGAAGACGGCCTTCATCACTGATCAGGGGTTATTCTGTTACACAGTCATGTCGTTTGGTCTTAAGAATGCCCCGGCTACCTTCCAGCGAATGATAAACACTGTGTTCTTTGATCAGATCGGGAGAAACGTCAAGGCATACATTGATGATATGATTGTCAAGACTAAACTTCAGAAAGATCATCTGTCGGACCTCTGAGAAACTTTCGCCACACTCAGGCGGCACCATGTCATGCTCAATCCCAAGAAATGTGTATTTGGGGTTGACTCTGGGAAATTTCTCGGATTCCTTATCAATCAGAGAGGAATAGAGGCGAACCCTGAGAAGGTGCAAGCGGTCATTGACATGCAGTCGCCTCGTACCATCCGAGAGGTTCAGAAGTTAACAGGCTGTCTGGCGGCCTTGGGAAGATTTCTAAGCCGATCAGGCGACAAATGCTTATACTTTTTCCAGACAATTAAGAAAAAGGCAAGGTTTGAATGGGGGCCGGATGCTGAGGCCGCCTTCCAGAAATTGAAAGTTCACTTGCATTCCTTGCCGAGGCTGGTCAGCCCTTTGCCCAAAGAAGTACTCTACATGTACCTGGCCGTCTCTGATCATGCGTTAAGCGCTGTTCTCCTTGCTGAAAGAGACGTCTGTCAGCTCCCGGTATACTTTGTCAATCACGTACTGAAAAATGTCGAGTTGAGGTATCCCCTAGTGGAGAAATTTGGTCTTGCACTCTTCATGGCTGTTAAAAAATTGAAGCCCTACTTTTTGGCACATGCAGTCGTCGTGTATACAGACCAACCTATCAAGTGGCCACTAACCATCATGGAGTCGTCAGGCCGAATGATCAAATGGGCCATAGAAATACAGAGCCTCGAAGTTACTTTCGAGCCTAGAAAAGCAGTGAAGGGGCAAGCCTTTGCTGACTTTATTGTTGAGATGACTCGTCCTCCTGACTCTCAAGTTCCAGACCAAGTCTGGAAGGTATATGTGGACGGAAGCTCTACTTCAAATGGTTGTGGAGCAGGCGTCATATGTCAGCCGCCAGAGGGCGACAGGTACGAGTATGCTCTACGCTTCAGTTTTCAGGCCTCAAACAATGAGGCAGAATATGAAGCTTTACTAGCCGGAATCCGCATGTGCAAGGCGGCAAGGGCAAGAAAAATAGATGCCTGTTCCGATTCACAATTGATAGTGATTCAGTACAATGGCGAATACGAAGCAACCCATCCGGCCATGATCAAGTATTTACAGGCGGTACGACAAGCAGTCGGCTCCCTTGAGGATTTCCATCTGATCCAAGTGCCGAGATCAGAAAACAACCAGGCGGATGCACTGTCAAAATTAGCATCATCCGCCTCCTCTGATACTCCTCGAACTGTTTTTTGGGAAGTAATGGAGAAGAGAAGCATCGAGGAAGACCCTATTGGAATCCTAGACAGAAGCTCAACCTGGATGGATTCAATCAGGGCATATCTGGCAAATGGTACCCTGCCGGATGATCATCAACAGGCGGCAGCACTGAAAAAACGAGCCACCTGTTTTGAAATAATAAAGGGAGAACTTCACAAAAGGGGGTACCTTCAACCCTTCTTAAAGTGTGTTACTCCAGAAAAGGGACGAGAGATACTAGACGATCTTCACTCTGGTTACTGTGCTTCTCATATAGGCGGTAGGACGCTTGCTCAACGGGCAAGGCAGCAGGGCTACTTTTGGCCTACCTTAGAAGCAGATGCAATGGAGATGGTGAAAAAATGTGACAAGTGCCAAAGGTTTGGCAAACTAATTCACCGTCCGGCTACTGACCTCACTACCATTCATAGCCCACTACCGTTTTCTAAGTGGGGCATGGACATTCTGGGTCCATATACGCCTGCTACAGGCGGAAGGAGGTACATACTTGTTGCCGTCGACTACTTCACTAAATGGGTAGAGGCGGAGGCTGTAAAGGGAATCAAGACGAAGGATGTAATTTCATTCATTTGGAAAAATGTCATCACTCGGTTCGGGGTTCCCATGTCTATGTTTTTGATAATGGTCCCCAATTTGAGACGCCTGTTCTCAAAAGCTGGTTGGGTGACCAAGGAATTGCACACTACTTTGCATCTGTCGGCCGTCCACAAGCAAACGGCCAGGTAGAAGCCTTTAATAAAATCATCTCAGACGGTCTCAAGAAAAGGATTGAACGAGCAGGCGGCCTATGGGCGGATGAATTACCACATGTTCTCTGGGCCATTAGGACGACTGAAAAAGGGGCGACTGGAGAAACTCCATTCCTCCTAACTTATGGTGCGGAAGCTGTTCTTCCAATAGAACACTACGAGCCGACTCTTCGAGTAATGCTATATGACGAAGAGGCAAACTGGGAAGCCATGCCCCTGGCATTAGACTCACTTCCTGAAAGGAGGGGCAATGCTGTCTTGCGCCATGAAATTTACCGCCTGAGAATGACTAGATCATACAACAAAAAAGTACACAGGCGTCCACTCAAAGTGGGGGACTTTGTACTTAGAAAAATGGAAGCAGTTGGTAGGGCTAATGAGTCTGGCAAACTAACTCCCAACTAGGAAGGACCCTACCGAATTTGTGAAGAGGTCAGGGACGGTACCTACCGTCTGGAAACACCATACGGTCGACCGTTGCCTCGAACTTGGAATGTAGACAATCTTAAGAAATATTTCTTTTGAATGATGTAAATAGTCAAGAGCTACTTAATAAAAGTTTGCATACTTACTATTCAATTTTGTACTAAGAGGGGCACGCCTACTAACAAACAGTCGGCTACTCTCCATGTTTAATTTTTATTTAAGAGGGGCATGCCGTCTGTACCTTTACAGTCGGCTACTCTCCATCGAGTATTTCACTCTATCTTCAGAGGGGCATGCCGTCTGTACCTTTACAGTCGGCTACTCTCCGTTGAGTATTTTACTCACAATAAGGGCATGTTGTCTGGACATATAGTCGGCTACTCTCCATAAGAAGATGGCCGACTGGTTCCAAACACATAGCAACTCCCCTAATACTTAGCTAAAAAGATTAGGGCCTGGCCGACCCTGTGCCTAACAGGCGGCTACCCTCCTCTTAGCACCTACGTTCACCAAGAACTAAGGCCACAGGCCGAATGATCAGACCAGGCGCCAAGCCAACTGATCAAATCTTCAAAACTAATACGACCTGTCCCAACATCATAGCAGGCGTCCGGCGGCATCCCTCCGGATGAAATTCGTCGCAGAGAGCAGCTCCCTTTTGGGTGGAACATTGCTCTATAAACTAATTACACGGCACCTATACGACTGTCCCCAAGGGTAACCACGTAGCCGTTTTTGAGACAAGGATAACTCTATCACTAACCAAACCAGTGGTAGCAGTTGACATCTGAGTCAAATGACCGCCTGTATTACTTGGGATAAATGCAGGGGGTACCTCTTGAGTTAATAGCCAACAAACATTGGCGAATCAAGGGGTCTAGCCGGCCTCCGCCGCCTGGTACCTCTACTACTCAAGCAAGAGTGACGGCGACTGAGTAACACCAACGTTAACTCATAGTCACTCCCTTAAACTTGGTATGGAACTTAAAAGGTTTGAGTAGACCGCCTGTTTTTTGGCAAACAGCGACACTCAAACCTCTATTCCTACTAGCTAACCTCTTGAGTTAATAGCCAACAAGCATTGGCGAATCAAGGGGTCTAGCCGACCTCCGCCGCCTGGTACCTCTACTACTCAAGCAAGAGTGACGGCGACTAAGTAACACCAACGTTAACTCATAGTCACTCCCTCAAACTTGGTATGGAACTTAAAAGGTTTGAGTAGACCGCCTGTTTTTTGGCAAACAGTGGCACTCAACCACTACTCCTGCTAGGTTAACAACTTATGAGTTAAAAGCCAACAATCATTGGCGAATAAAGGGGAACAACCGGTACCCACCGCTTGATACCTCTACTAAGTTCCTTGGCAACTAAGTAACAATCATGTTCACTTGGTCAGACCACTTTCCTACTTGGTTAAATTTACAAATGACAAGACCGCCTGCCTAAAAAGGATCCAGTCTTTAAAATAGTTCGAATACCGATTGGATAAATGGCCGACTGATCGTCTATCCTAGAAACAGACAACCAGTCGTCCAGGGGCATAGGCGGCGTGACTAACTATCCGTACCTGTCTGCAACTATCAGCCATGTAAAACAGTCGATCTAGTGAACAATTGGATATTAGAATATTCAATACTTAGACAAATTTAAAGCAAAACAAAAATTCATTAAAAAGAAGCCGGTCATTAAAGACCGGCAAAATATTCAAAGCCCTGGCCCCCTGGCCGGGTAAATACAAAACAAACGGCACGCAGGCCGTGGAAAGAATACATAAAGCTTAAGAAGGGGGCAGATCTTCAATATTAGCAGCTGCCGCCTGGTCAGCACTCTTCTTGCTGGACTCGGCTTCAGCTGCATCCTTTTTTGATGCATTACCCCCAAACGGCACAAGCGCCACTACCGGCTCCTCCTCCTCCAACGCTTCCTCCAACGCCTCTTCCTCAGCAGCCGCCAGGATCTCTTGATTATATGTATCAGAACACTGACGGTACGTTTTTTCCCATGAGGCAAAGTCGGCATTAGGGAAAAGGCGGCCCCAAGTCATGCGCTGGATTTGAGCGGAGTCTTCCATCATCTCCCGGACCAGCTCTTTCTTCTCTTGCTCGGCCTTTTCCGAGAGCTCTTGAGTAAGACTCTTCTCCTGGGTCACCAGGCGTTCCTTTAC